AGTTATATTCGATCATAATAGCAAAAGAAAAACAAAAAAAGGTGGTCAATAAATACAAGATAAATAACAATAATAATAACAATAAAAAAGAGAGACATTTAATTATCAGTCATATACAAATAAGAGGCAAAAAAAAAAAAAATCCAAAAATCCAGTCCAGGTAACGATGTCCTGGCATACAAAAATGGAAGATGAAGCTTATGATAATTTAGTTAGATATCTTTCTAAATTAGAAACTCTAAAAACATATCTAACAAAGCAGATCAAAAAATTAAAAGCCCAAGCCTGATACTACTTAATACGGGAGGGTATTCTATATCGAAGAAATAAAAGAAATCCAGAATAACCTCTTCAAGTATTGAAAAAGAACCAAGTTAAGCTTGTGTTAGAAGTAATGCATGAACATCCTATATTAGAACATTTTGGTGAAAGAGTAACGATAGAGAAAGTAAAAGGAAAATATTACTGGAATCAGATGGTAGCTAACATAAAGGAATTTGTAAGAAGCTGCAAAGTCTGTCAATTAAGGAGAAAACTACCCACTAGGAAAGCATTAAATCTAATAAAAATATCTTAGCCATTTGATTATGTTGGTTTGGATATTACAGGGCCTTTACCTCTTACGAAGAAAGGAAATTGATATTTGGTAGTTGCTATAGAATATTTATCAAAGTGGCCCGAAATACAAGCTTTACCTGATTGTTCCGCAGAATCTGTTGCTGCCTTCTTATTGGAAGATATAGTAACCCATCATAGTTGTCCTCATGAGATACTAACAGACCAAGGGTCTCATTTTTGCAATAAAGTAATAGACTTGGTATGCCTAAAAGCTGAAATCAAACATAAGCTATCCTCAACATATCATCCTCAAACCAATGACCTTGTAGAAAGATTTAATCGCACCATATGTGAGGCTTTAGTGAAATGTGTAAGCCAATACAATGGAGACTGGGATGATTACTTGTATCCAGTATTATTTGCTTGTAGAACTCTTAAGCATAATACAACCAAATTTAGTCCTTTTTACTTAACTTATAGAAGAGAAATAACTTTACCAATAGAAATGATAATAGAAACATATTTTGTAGATAATGTAGATGATGAGTAATTCTGATCATTAGTAGTAGCCTGAACTTTAAAGTTAATGAATGATCTATTTGAGGCTAGGATAAAGGCTCGGGAAAATATTTACAAGGCTTAGCTTCATCAAAAATGGCATTATGATCAGCAATATCCATTGCGAACTTACAAAATAGGTGAGAAAGTTTTGAAATATAATGCAAAATTAGCAACAAAAATTGGTAGAAAACTAAAAGAGAAATGGGATGGACCATACTAAATTATTGAGGCATTCAGCAATGGAACCTACAAGCTACAAACCATAGGGCTTTCAGGAAAAATGTTGAATAAGGTAGTGCATGGAAGTCAACTGAAGTCATATATTGAACGAAAGGATGAACAAAAACGTAGAGAAGCTATAAATGAAACGGACATATAAAAAAAAAAAAAAAAAAAAGGGGTCTATAATTGCTTGAAGTATCACAAGTAGATTTGAAATATTTTTATATGATGCTTAATAATCACAAAAAAATGTCTGTATTCGCAGAGCTCATCCTTAAGAGGAAGAAAATGTTACAGAAAATTTTTAACTTTACTGTTACCCAGGTTCCAAATTACTGTATCATACAGATACCCGGTTCTGATGACTATATTTTGGTGATCATATAGTTACCCAGTCCGATTACTTTAATATTACTATATTTCCCTTCACTTTTACTTTATTTTTTCCTTATTATTGATTCTCATGCTATATTTTTAGATTTTTTCCTATTACCACATTTTAGCAACATTATAGCAACATTACAATCATTTTCATAATGATGATTATATAATAACTTCATTTTTCTTATATATGTATGAAAAGTATATTTAAAGGACCCTATGAGGGGAAAGGAAAATATTTATTCTTCCTTATTTAATACATAAGCTTGAAAGACAATAATAAAATAATAATTGCTAACAATGATAATAATAAATACATTTATTACTATAATAATTGGCAAATCCCTAATAATTAATTTACCAACATAAACCTCATGCATTTGACAAATAAAGTGTTATTGCAATAATTAGAATCTCTGTGCTATTTGATATACTCTAGTTCTTCCAAGAATAGCTTTACGATAAGTAATAGAACTAAACTTCTTATGCTCATGGTCTAAAATTACAATTTGGTAACAGAAATAAAAATGTCTTTTCTCAGATCATGACAGTAGTAAACTCTTTTGGTCAAAGTAAATAAGACATTAAAATAAGTATTTACTTTATATAGAAAGTTTAGAATTGCTGTTAGTTAACTCAAGATTAGTTTAAAATTTTAGTATTTATATTTAGAAGTTTTTAATTTATTTACATTATAATAACCTTTCTGATTTTATTTAGTTGTAAAAATATAGGTATTAGTAACAATTTGTGAAAAGAATATACAATTTAACTAAACATATAAAAATATTTTTTAAAACTTTAAATTTTAATCTTGTTATAAATTACATTTATATATATATTAAATACAATTTATTAATATATACTGATATTTGAATTATTAAACTTTACAGTAAAATTAATTTTATTATTTTAAATATATAATATTGTTTTTACCAAATGCATCTTCTAATGTTTTTTTTTTCTAATCCAAGATTATTGCATCAAAAACTCAAAGAAGTTAGTGCAATATTCTTACAAAGTGTATTTGCTAATGCTTTTTTTTATTTTGTTTTAATATGATTATTTTTAAGATGCAAAAAGTCAGAATAGTATTATTGCAAAGTGCATTTACTAATGCTTTTCTGATTTTAGAATCAAGATTATTACTATTAAAATATACTGTATATAAAGAAGTTAGCATAATGTTCTTATAAAGTATATATGCTAATGCTTCTTTTTTTTCTTCTAATCCAAGATTATTAGTACTAAGCTTAAAAGAAGTTAATATAGTATTCTTGCAAAATGCATTTGCTAATGCTTTTTTTTTTTTTAATTTGAAATTATTAAGTTAAAACTTCAAAAAAATCAATGTAATATTTTTGCAAAATACATTTCCTAATGTTTTTTCTTTTTCTAATTCAAGTTTATTAAATTAAAGTTTTAAAGAAGTCAATATAGTATTTTTGCAAAGAACATTTACTAATGTTTTTTTTTTTTAATCTAATATTACTCTGATAAAGACATAAAGAAATTAATATAATATTTTTACAAAATGCATTTGTTAATTTTGATTTACTAATAGTATAATTAAGTGTTAAATGTTTAAGAAATTTACTTGTTTGTTTTTTTTTTTTTTGTTTTTAAGATGACTCTTTTTGGTTTTTTAACTTTAGTAATACTTTTGTTAAGCATTACAACAAGTATACAATTAGCTATATATGTAATTTTTTTATATTACCTATTTAAGAAGTCTGTTTAAAGATTTTTAATCAGTTGTTATATTTAACACTTCTGCTTAAATGTTTTATTTAAACCTTCTGATCTGAAACCTTTGTACCAACTTTATTAGATCCTTGTCTTAACCTTAAAACAATTTTATTCTCAAAATAAACTTATTAGAGCAAACTATATATTTTTTATTTATTGCTAATATGGATTTTTTACTATGACTAAGACTAATACTTGCAATTAAAATTATTTATTAAATTACTATTATTTTTGTAAAGTTTACTCAATTCTGGTATTTGTTTTTCTGATGTCTTCTTTATTATCTTCTACTAGTCATAACTCAGAACTAACAGATTCTTTAGACTTCCAATTCAGATAGCTTATTATAGTATACTTATGTATTCTTTTTTTTAGTAATTCTAATAGTCTGATTGGTCATATACTTCTCTATACATCTTGTCATCTAATTTATTTGACAATTTCTATAAAGATGTTTTATAGGCTTTTATTAGTCCAATAGCATTATCAAAAGTTTGTACTATTTCTTTACTTAGGATTTTCAAGTAGATTTTTGTCTTTTCATTTTCTTAGTTTTCTATATCCAGTGGTCTTATTATAAGTTTGCATTGAAGTCTTATATGATATTAGTTTTTTATATTCTTTTATATACATATAATATTATACTTTATATAGATGTTTCAAGCTTTCAATGTTAGGTAAAATTCAACTTGGTATACTTAAGATTACAAATGCCCAAAATCTAACTAATTAACAAAAGACAATTACTGTAATACAAATATAATTTTTAAAATTCATTATCTATAAGAATTGAACTTTAGACTTGCCACTTGAAAGTTAACAACTTATTCACTTTACTAGATTATCACACTTCTAATTTACTTGTTTGTAAAAATATTTTAGCTAAAAAATATTTGATAATATTTGCAATTTTATCTTTTTTAAAATTTTTACTAAACAAATATTAATAGATTTGGTATAACATTGTATTCAAATAATAGCTTTAGATAATTTAGAAGAATAATTTTAAAAGTATAGTGTATATAGATTATTTTTATATAATCTTTGTAATACAATATAATTTTTATAAAAAATAAAACTGTTATTAATAAAAGTTTTTACTATTGTAATTAATTTTTATCAAATTTTTATATAATATAAAATAAGATATAGGTTATATTATTATTTTTAATATATCATATTTTATAAAATAAATCAAAAAAGCTTATTAATAATATTAAATCCAATAACTGTTATTATAAACTATAATTTTAGAACTATATATACTATAATATTAGAATTTAAAAATAAATTTTTTTTTTTATAATTAAACTAGTCTTTTTGGGACTAGAGCTTTTTTTATTTAGTATAGTAAGACATAATAGCTTACAGTCTGATTATCTCAAAAGAGCTACCTTACATTAGAGAGTACATCTAGTTACATATACACTTTTGATGTCTAATTTAAGTAGTTTGCCTATATATAAGTTCTATATTAGTTGCTATACTTGCAACCCAACTATAGAAGTTGTTTATTTAAATTCTTTATACTATAATCCTTACTGTATTACTAGAACATCTTCATTACACAATGTTAGTTAAAAAGTTCTAAATGCATACTTGTATTCTTAGAACCTCATATCTTATTTTATGCAATGTATTCTCAAGACATTATTACTAGAGCCTTCTGTATTCCAATTTACAATTAAACCTAGTTTACAACCTTTGTGAAGTTCATACAACTTCAGTATCCTCCTTTTACAACCTCACCAATACCTTTTTATTCTTGCAAATTCTCCTATACTACTAATCTAGTTAGCTCTGCATGATGTGACTTTATATCTAGATCAATTAGTAGCCAGATTGGTAAACCCACTACCTAGAGGTTCTTGCCTATACAGATCATCTGTTTTAGATTTACTTTTTCAGATCAAGATCTTTACAGATAGTACTGTTAAAAGTTGTACTATCTCTTTGCTTAGAATTTCTAAGCAGGCTTCTAATTTAAGTATATACTTTATAGATTTATTTGTATAATATTGCATACTTCCAAAGTTAGTCTTGGTATAACCAGAATTCCAAGATCTAAAATCCTAGATTATAAATAAGTTTGCCAGTGTTCTAGAATGAATTATTATTATTTTATTATCATTAGTTATTATTATTATTATTATTTTATTATTATTATTATTTAGTATTAGTTATTTTATATTGTATTATTATTAATAGTAGTTGCTAGAACTTTTCAGTTGATTAGTAATTGCTTAGTTACTTAGTTACTTAATTACTTAGTTACTTAGTTGCCTAGTTACTTAACCACTTAGTTGCTTAGTAATTAGTCACTTAGTAATTATTAGTTATTAGTTGCTAGAACCTTTCAGTTGCTTAGTAATCACTTAGTCACTTAGTCACTTAATACTTAATCACTTAGTCACTTAATACTTAATCACTTAGTTACTTGTTTATTTAGCTTACAGATATATAAACTCTGCTAAATTCTTCAAGTGTGATTAAGCAACAGACATCTCTTTTTCTTTTATATTGTAAACACATTTTAAGATTTTTTAAAAACAAAAACCTAAGAATAGTCCTTCTAGTTATTATGTTAATAAATAGCTTTTGACTATAAACTGTATTAATACTTCTTCTATAGAGTAATTTCTACAGACAAGGTTTATTTTCTCTTAATAAAATAAAGAAAAGTTATTAGTATTGCATTACCTTTTCTGAACTGACTCAAAAAAGAATATAGTTTTTTAACAACATTTAACAGAAGCTATACTTTTCTTTTGGACATCATATATATCTGTAAGGGATTCCCTATGCTGTATTATTATTATAATATGAAAATTAAGAAGGCTTTTACCTATAACATTTGGTGCCTTCTAG